CTCTCTCTCTCTCTCTCTCTCTCTCTCTCTCTCTCTCTCTCTCTCTCCACCCTGAGGCCCTGCAGAGGCAGATGCTGAGTTTCAAATCACTTTGACCTGAGGTCACATGAAGAGTTCTGAGTTCAGGAGCTGGGGGAAGGAACCAGCCATGGCTGAAGAATCCTACTAGCAATTATCTTTGTTATTCCTTCCAGGTGTTGCTCTGTGTACTTGCAGGAATACACAGAAACAATGAGATCAAAGGCAATTTCAGAGGAAAGGCCTGGGGGAAAAGTCCAGTCTGGCTAAACCCTTCCAGGCATGTCTGAAGGACCTTATCTCAGAAGAAAACCCAGGAGTGAGGTTGAGTGTGTCTGTGTCTAGATCAGCATGCTCAGGGGTTGGATAATGAAAGGCAGGAGCTGTGGGGTGAACGGATGAGGGATGCCCTGTACTGCTTTGCACAGAATAGCTGAGGGTATCCAGAGAGGATGGAAAGCCAAGCTTTGACTTCAGGGTGCACATCCACCGTCATGGTCTGCAAGGAACCCCAGAGCCCTATTAAGTCCTCTCTAGTCACCATCAGTGCATGCTCTCGGACTCGTTTTTCAGTCTCCTTGGGCTGACATCATTTTCCTAGTCCTGTCAGCTAAACTGGAAGTCTGGGGAATGCAAAAAGTGATGACCTCAGTCAGTCTGCAGCCTCAGTTTCCCCACTGTAGCAGGGAAGGATTGAGTGGAAAGAATTGCTAATCAGCTCTCCAAGATTACCGGTTCGGGTGTGATCCTGGTTTGCTTGTCGGGTGGCACATGGGGACAGGTGTAGTGTCTGGAAGTTCCTGTCTCTGATGAAGCCTGTTTGTCGCAATGAAATTCTCCTGCTTGTACCATCATAACACCAAGAACCATGACGACGAGAGAGGTGTCGAAAGAAAAACAATGCTTTTTCAAATGCTTGTCGTGTGTGTGGTCAGTACCTGACCTGCACCATCACTTTAATATTATCCTGCCTCTGTGCATTTGTGCATGCATGCACATGTGTATGTACACAGGAATGTGTTGCGCATGTACGTGTGTTGTGTATATGTTCATGTGTGTGGGTGCACAAATGGGTGCAGGTGTAAGTGAGACTGAAGCTGGTTTTCTCCCTCGGTCATTTTCCATCCCTTTTTTAAAAAAAAAAAAACAAAAAAACAAACGAGGTCTTTCACTGAACCGCAGCTCGCTGCTTCATTGAGGATGGCTGGCCAGCAAAGTCCACGTATCCCCGTGCCTCTTCTTCCCCAGCTCTGTGATTACATGGTGCCAGGCTTTTTATTTGGTGCTAGGGTTAAAACTCACCCTTATGCTTGTATAACAAGCACTTCCACACACAAGCTTAGAGATACGTTTCTGCAGTTTCAGGTCCCAGCCTATGGATTCTGCCAGGACATCTTGAGCTGACTAATACCACACAGAGAGCTTGGGTAGAGACCAAGTCCTCAGCCTTGGCCAGCTGAGTCAAGGCTATCTACCTCCCTACCAGGTTATTAACAAACAAACAGAAGGGTGATTAGTGAAATCAGAATTTTAGATAAATAACAAAAAAATCGATTTTTAAAAATTTTAGATTTTTTAGTATATATCCATGCAATAGCTGAGGTACATTTACAGTAACAAAGGACTTACTGTTTTCTATTTGCTGGTTTTATCTAGTATCTCTGAGCACCCCACACTCAGCAGCCCAATAACTGGCCTTACAACAGTTTCTATCTGGATATTTCATGATAGGTTTCACTTAAACTGGGATAAAAATGACTGGTATCTATGTGCCCCAGAGCTTTTGTAACGATTATATAAATCCATAATGAAAAGTACTTATATCTATGCCGAGATATATAGTAAGGGACTTGGGAATCCTTCCCCCACAAATGTGGTCTTTGTGTGTGTGCATGTATATACACACGTATGTATATTACTTAATACATCATCACATATGTACCACAGGCTGGCCTGTCACTTCATCTGTCACCTAGTCAGGCTTTGAAACTCTCTGTCCTCCTGCCAGGGACAAGGAGATGCAGGGTGCCCCCAGTTGATAGCAGTTCCCTGGTGTTAGCACCCAAGCCTCCCCTTTGCAACATGGAAGCACTCAAACTTACCGCTGCCCCTCATCCCTCAAATGGCATATAGGGAGGTCCCATGCCTGAGGTTGATGGGTCCTGTTTCCTGGGGACATCCCACAAAGCCCATAGGGATGGATATTGCTGGAGCCAGGCTGCTAGGGAGACCAGTAGAGGGACATCCTGCACCCTGCATTTTAAAGGAAATGGACATTCCCAATGTACAAGGGGAAGGGGTCCCAGATATAAAATTCCTAACAAAAATACCATTTTCCCCTGGTGCCAGAAACTGTGTTAAGTACTTTCCCCATGGTCTGGAGCGGGTGACCGTATGACCCCCACTTTCTGGAATAGGCTCAGGATGATTACGGACTTTCCCAGCTATAGCAGCACACATCTGTAATTTTAGTGCACTCTGGAGCAGGAAGAAAAAGGACTGTGACTTCAAGACCAGTGTGGGCTAATCACAAGATCCTGTCTCAGAAGTGACTGAATAACTAAAATTTAAAGGAAGGAAGTCTCTCAGGTTACACAGCTTGTAAACTGCAAAGCTGGGATTTAACTTTAAGGGTCTAGAGATGAGGAGAATACTCCCTCATTAGGGGCTGATCTACAGGAGGGTCAGCTCAGGCCCCCCAGCACTCCCTCTCAGCCCTGCACCCAGGCAGCTGGCCTCACTTGTGGGCCCTCAAGTCTGTAGGAATGATCACCCCAACCTGTCCCTGTCCCTGGTTCCTGTGCTCACCTGAATGGATACTGATGTCAGGGTGTGGAGGGGCCTGTGCAGAGAGGAGGGCCAGGAAGACCACAGACCAGAGTTCCCATTTCTGCATGTTGAACCCAGAGAAAGCTACCTCTGGCTGGAGCAGAGAAGCTCAGAGCTTGGGTCCCTGATGGCTCTCCTAGGTTCAGGCAAGGCCTCCATAGCCAAGACAGATGGGGTGGACCACTGTCCCTCCTCCTCCTGCCTCTCTCCCGACTCCTCTGCATCACTGGACCAAATGCAGAGTGACAGCTGAGATCAAAGTAGTGCTCCAGCCCCTGGGGACTCCTGAGCCACCTGAGTTCCCAGCTCTCTTCACTTCTTCTTTGAGCCTCTGTCCTAGGCCACCAATTACTTCTGCCTTCTTAGGGCAAATAACTCTCAAAAGGTAAAAAAAAAAAAAAAAAAAGAAAAAGTAAAAGTGGGGGTTGATTGCAGCAGACCCGTAGTCATTAAGGTGGTTTATGTGGTCCACATAATGTCTTAAAATTAATACAAGAACAGGGCTAGCTTAGTACATGTCACTAAGCCAGAGCTCTGCATGGACACTCATGATGGGAGAACTGACTCCTGAAGGTTTTCCTGACTTCCAAGCGGTACACACACACACACACACACACACACACACACACACACCACTGATAATCAGTATGTAAAACTCAGGAGGTTTTAAGTTAAGGCCAATTCTCTGACTCCTGCTGCAAATCTGAAAACGGGACAAGCCTTGGTTCTCATTTCTGCAGCAGAATCACTGCGCAGAGGTGAGGAGGGTACTTAAATCAGGGCTCTAGCAAGGTTTGTTGAGGTTTTGTCCACTAGTCTGACCTTGAGGCCACCACACTCCTTTGAGCTGCTTCCAGGGTTAAAGGAGACATCAGGAAAGTCACACAGTGAGTTACAAATGTCACAATGGTCATCCTTTGTTCCTAGCACTGCTGTGTGGTTTGCTCATTCTTAAATGTCTGAAAGCCCACTGGCGTTCCTATTGGGATTTTGCTGCATGTAGGAACATTTTTTTTCTTTTTGTGTGTGTATGAGTACCTATATTCACACAAATATGTGCATGTGGAAGTCTGAGATCGGTGTCACATGTCTTCCACTTTTATGGCTCTCCACTTTGTTTTTAGAGGCAGGGTCTCTCACTGAACCAGGAGCTCCCTGATCCTGCTGGACTGGCTGGCCAGTGAGTGTTAAGGTTTTTTTTTCTCTCCTCAGCTCTGGGATTACTGGTACAGGTAGCTGTACAGCCTTTTATATGAGTGTGGAGATTCAAATTCGGGTCCTTACACTTGAGTAGCAAGCACTTTACCAACTGAGCCGTTTCCCCAGGTTGACAATTCCTATTGGTGAAAACAAGAACTGCTCTCTTTTTCTACCCTGTGGGCAAGCCACACTGTCTGGCTACGTCAAAGTTTCTCCCTCTATCTCATGAATGATAAACAGTACATATCTCCAAGACGTTACATGAAATTCTTTCCTTTGCTTAGACTGTTTTTCCCTTGGAGAAAGATTATGAGACAAGACATGACTATATAGCCCCTGTCTTGCCTGAGAGTCATGATCCTTCTGCTCAGCTTCCCCAGAGCAAGGCTGACAGGAGTTTACCACCACAGCCAGGTGTTTATTCTGTTTAGCATGGATGCTGCCAGTAGAAGATGCTCACTAAATAACAGCATGTGTTGCTATTATTGCGATTGCTCTCATGAAAGACTTTCCCTGGCACCAGCTGCACCCTCTCCGTCTTGTTGGGTCCTTATCCTCCCCTGAAATGCTCAGCGAGGTGCTCTGACACTTCACGTAACTGACATTCATGAGTAAGATGGGAACGTGTCAATTTGGTTTCCTAGTCACTCACCTCCCCCCACCCCTCAACGCTATGCTTGTGAGGAACAACTTAGCTCTCACCCACACAGCATGCTTTGCCCCACTGGTGTTGGCACTGAAGTCTGCCAAGGCATGACTCAGCATACAGGCTCAACTTAGGCCCAAATCTAGCCGACAGCAAGTCCAGGGTATACCAGTTGTCTCGAGACCATTGCATTAGAGTAGCTGACACAGCATGCATGTTTCTTCAAAAGTGGTGAGCATTTAGTGCATGTTTATAAGAGTGCTGCCATTACTGTGAATGTGAATGGTAATGTGTGAATACCAGTCTTCATTATTGACTTGGCTGGATTTGGAATCACTTAGAAGACATTTCAGAGTGTATCTATAGGTCTCCAGGGATGTTTCCCCGAAGAGGGACAATCCATCTTAAATGTGGGCAGCACCATCCAACGGACTGAGATCCCAGACTGAACAGAAGAGAAAAGGAAGAAGCCAATCTGGCATCAGTATTCATCTCCCTTTGCCTCCTGTCTGGGGATGCAATATGACCAGTTGCATATACCTTCTCTCACAGCTGGAGCTGTTTTCTCCACCATGTTCCCTGCTATGATGGATTGCACCCTCAAATATGTGAGCCCAAACAACCCCTCCTTCCTTGAATTTCTTCATCGGGTGTTTTGTCGCAGCAATGAGTGAAGGTAACTATAAAAATGTAAAGTAGCATTTTCTCTTTTGTGCTATTATCCCAGGAGTAGAAATAGAGAGGCCCCCACTGCTGTGTTCTTGGGGGCTACCAGGAAGCTTTCGTCTGTGTTTGCTGCTATAACAAAATACTTGAGACTGGACCATTTACAATGAAAAGAGATGATATGTTTTCAGTTTCAAGGTTGCAAAATTCAATATCAGGGTGTCTCCGTCTTCTTGCTGCAGCATCACATGTGTGGGGGAGCAAGGGGAGAAAAGGAAGGAGAGAGAGAGAGAGGCAAAAGAAGAGATAAACTCCTGAGAGAAACGCCTTAATCTTCTCTTTATGAGACTGAAACACCTCACATAGACAAAATCCAATGTGAATTTTTGTGGGGACAAACATTCCAGCCATAGCAATGTCCTTCTGAGTATGAATATGATGGGAAAGGGGGATAGTTCAAAAGAGTGTGTGCTGGAAGTTCTTGTGACGTGAGGATAGATGGCAGGTAGATAGTTTATAGACAGAAAGAGAGAGAGAGAGAGAGAGAGAGAGAGAGAGAGAGAGAGAGAGAGAGAGAGAGTCCCCAGCTATAGTCTCTGTCCTGCACTGTGGTGTCTGAGTGCTGTGACCCATCAGTTCTGTTCTCTCTCTCTCAACGTGCCTTTGTTCAAATGTAGGTGTGGCCTGTGGAAATGTCTCAGAATTGCAGAGTCTCAGGCCTTACCAGGAGCTACTGACTCAGAAACTGCCCTTGGTTTACTGTTCTCCAGTGGCTTGTGTGTTCACTAAAGTTTACAGAATCTAGCTCTAGACGAGGGTAGGTACAAAACTTTTCTGTAGAGAAAGAGTGTGATTTTTTTTTTTTTTTTTAGGCTTTGCAGACTTTGCTAATCTATCACTGTTGAGTTTTACCAAAGACCCAGGAATAGATCTGGAAGTATTTCAATAAAACTTTATTTATAAAAGCAGGCAATGGGTTGGGCATGGCTGAGGGGCTGTGATTTGCCAACTCCTGGTCTATGTTTCAATTTTACAGACAGAAAATTGATGATTTTTTTCTCTTAACAAGTATTATGTTTACTGTCAATTGAAGACTGTAATGATCTCCTATATATGTATACCTACTATGTGTGTGTGTGTGTGTGTGTGTGTGTATTTTCTAGCTTCTTAAAATGACATTTACTGAATGATATTTTGTCCTCCTTATACATGTGTTTATGGGAGGCTGGTCAAGTCAGTGAAGATCTGTCTAAAACATCTACTGATTATCATCTATCCATCCATCTGTCCGTCTGTCCATCCATCCATCCATCCATCCATCCATCTATCCATCCATTATATCTCCCTCATAATTACTCAGCTTTTAAAAGTGTTATTTATGAGGCTGCAGAAGTGATTTAGAGTTTAAGAGCACTTGGTGTGCAATCATAAGGATCAGAATTTGGATCATAGCACCAAGGGAACAAACAAGATGGACATCTCAGATATTTTTGTAACTGCAGTTCCAAGGTAGGCAGAGACAGAAAGATTGCTGGGGCATGCTGGCTCCCAAGCTTAACCAAGAAAACATGAGCTTCAGGTTCAGGAGAGTCCCTATTTCAAAGGAATATGTGAAAAGTGATAGAGGATGACACCTGGTATCATCTTCTGGTCTCTGCTTATTCATACACACACCTGCATACACACATGTATATGCACTCAAACATTTAAAAATATTGTTTATTTAGTCAAGTCCTCTGTTTGTGACCATTATGAAAGGAGTCAGCTGGGCGGTGGTGGCGCACGCCTTTAATCCCAGCACTTGGGAGGCAGAGGCAGGCAGATTTCTGAGTTCGAGAGTTTGAGGCTAGCCTGGTCTACAGAGTGAGTTCCAGGACAGCCAGGGCTATACAGAGAAACCCAGTCTCAAAAAACCAAAAACCAAAAAAAAAAAAAAAAAAAAAAGAGGAGTCGATGCTTATTCACTTCATAAACTATGAGGCAGATACCTTCATGTTCTGCTGTGATTAGACACCAACTAGTAAGTCTCTCTAAGCCTCAGCTTTCCTGTCTACACAATGTGAACAAACTGGTATCTCTCCCGCATAGGTACTTAGAAAATGCTTGGCTAGTAAGAAGCACTTATAATCCAGAACCTTAAATATTCCTGGATAAGATGACCTAAAGTTGGAAACTAAAGGAACTGATGTGGTCTAGCTATGGCTTGAATGTCCCCCAAAGGTGCTTGTGATGAATCTGGCAGTATTGGGAAGTGGTTGAGATTTCAAGAGGTTGATCCTAATGGGAAGTCACTGGGGACATTTTCTTTGGAAGAGGTTAAGGTCATTCATGTGTGACCCTGAGAGGGTTATGAGATCAGCAAGCCAGCATCCTCCCTCTGACTCTGCTTCCTGGGTTCAATGCCTTCAGCAAGATGTGACTCCATACACTGCCCTCAACAGACATCAAAATCTTGGCCTGCCTTGATCTTTCATGTTTTCTCTCCCTCATGTATTTTGTTACAGTGATGGAAAGCTAGTAGACACTCCAATGGTTAGCTACATTGAAATTTAAAA